ATGACCTTCTCCAAGTATCTTAGCACCTTAACACTGGTTCACAAAAGCTTGAGAGAGCTGAGAGCGTTTAAGAGCTTTTGCATGTATATAGATCGAGTGAATAGAACCAGCACCTTCTTAGTTGATGAAGGTGGGTTTATATAGGTGAGCAAAAATTCATCCATTGGAGGGAGATGAATTTTTGAACCTATTATCCAGTGGGTAAGGACCGGGGAGCTTCATGCATTAAATGCTCCATTAATGAGGTTATACCTTGTAGCCGTTGATGGCATGGAGAGCCTTAGGGTTTTGTCCTTTAGCTTCAGGAAATAGTACATCTTCATTTAATGCTCCTTGATATGTGTGTCCCACAAGTTGAGGTCCTTTTTATCCTAGAATGTTGTCAAGTCAGATAGAGGAGACATTCTTCTTGCTATTGGAGAGAAGGGATGTCTCGAAGGATTATCGTTAACAAGACTGTCCTTTCGTGTTCAATGACAACTCCTCTTAAACTCTCGTTGAATGTGCTTCATGCTTCGCGTCTTCTTTCGTCTTGATCACCCTAACAACTAAGCATAACTCGTCTTCGTGTGTTTGGCTAACTTAACACGAATTACATGTGAGTTATGGCAACTTTCGTCTAGGACGAAAGCGGCGATTAAAAGAAGTAACGGTTAGGGGTCTACTTTCTAGGTTATATTGGTATCATCAAAATCCTAATACAAGTGTTCCTAACACACTCCACCCTACTACCAAACATGTTAAATAGTTTCACCAAAACTCATTACCATTACCAAGTATTTGATACCCATTCCGATTCTGATTCCTATGTGCGAACCAAACACACCCTAGACGGCCAATAATGGTTGAGCCACCTTAGTGAAGTAATTGCGCAGGCTGGCCTAAACACCTAATTAAACCATCCATATAGTATTCCCCTTAACTAATTAGGAGTATTAGTTAGCTAACCATTTGCAACTAATTAATTACAATATAATCCACCAATAGTTTGCCGATATACGTGTTTGTCTGTCCGCTTAACTGGCCACACGCATAGATGACTCAACTGACCGCCTATTCGGGTCTTGTGGTCCCAATCGTTGGCGCATTGCCGGCCGAAGACGCTCAAACGCGCTCGCGCGATTATCCTGTGGCTCGAGCTCATCTACCGCCTGGACGTGAGTTTCCTACCGTGGTCCCTGCCCCCTGCGATCCCAACATTGAGCGAGCCGAGCGCCTAGTCCGGGGACCGGGCTAGAGCTCGGACTCGGTCTGCATTGCTGGTTGGCTCGGGGGAACAGAAGCTGGAGCCGTGTACGCAGGCCTATAAGGTTGATAATTACCCGGCGGATAATACATTGGGGTCCCGGGCCAGTAACCATACGGAGCGGGTGGTGCTGGATGTGGAAAGTATCCCGGGTACGGGAATTGCTGACCAGGTGGCGGATACATCGGTTGGACATAATAGACGGGTTAGGAGCCACCGAGTGAGGGGGTGAGAGGTTGAGGTTCAGGTCGACGGTTGGACCATACTGTGTGTGATGGTCAGAAGAGCTGTCCGCATCCTCCTGTATTTCTTGCATATATGGATAAATGTTTTTGGGATGTAGGCACTTCGTCGTTCGTGACTAATTGTACCGACCCCCACAGACGGCGCCAAAATGATAGTGTAAATACACGGTTGACCTAGTACAATCTAAATGACTACCCCAAGGGCCGACTGACTGCAGTCGGGATGCTCTGTAAGTAGCCTCTTGATCGTTCCAAAAGTCCCATTCGCCTTGTCCGCCGAGGATATTTATAGCCCTTCGCTAGGGACAACGTCCGGCCTATCGGCATATAGTACTCCACGCGGCATCCACGTGCCCAAACCTGGTAACCACCCTCTGTCGACACCTGGCGCTGCCACGTGCCTGTGACACCCCAAAAATCCACATTTCAATCCATGAATTAATTGAGTAATTAATTCTAGTTCTTTTGAGGAATTGATTCCTAAAATCCTGATTTTTAATACTCAAGGACTAGTATTTGACTAGTCAATCTTTAAGTTGTGTTGTACCTTGTGCTTTGAGAGGAGTTCCCTTGCTCCTTACACTTTCTAAAGCTTAGTAAGGGTATCCTTGTCTTTTCATCAAGAGTTAGTATTGTAACCTAAACCTAGAAGACTTCTTCATTTCATTCCTTACAATCCTTTTAAAATATCTCCACCTTCTCTCTAGAAAAGAAGAGTAGCTTATTCTTCAAGCCAAGTTGAGACCCTTGTCAAGATTCCAAGTTTTGCTTCCAAGATTCAACCTTTCACCTATTTGGGCATCTAGGAGGGTAAGATCTAAGCTTGTCTAGTCTTTTTGGTTCTATCTTAGTTGTCTTTTTCTTAAAGGTAGGATCTTTATGATCTTTTGGTTTGATCTTGAAGTGGGTTTGAGAAGTACACTTTGTGAGGAGCTTGTTGTGGTGTAAAGTGAAGTCTTTTGGTCTACAAGAGGTAACCCATGCTCTACAAAACCTATTTTGCTTACCTATATGTGATTTCTTGGATTCTACTTGTGCTTTGCTATGAAATGTGAGGGTTTATGCATTTATCTTGTGATATTGCATATCTAGAGCTTGTGTTTAGGGTTCCTTTGTGCCATTGCTTGGCATTTTCCATGGTTCAAGTCATTTTGTTGTATTTGGTGAGATTTGGCATGTTTTGGACTTGAATTTGTGTTTGGAGAAGAAAATCTCCGAAGGGATTATTTACACAGGAGCATGTACCCGCGGGCGGAACGGCGGGGAGAGCCCTACACGCCACCCACCCGCAGGTACATGGGAATGTGGGTGGTGTACCCGCGGGCAAAACCACGGGTAGGGGCCTACCCGTGGGTCCACCCGCGGGGAACACAGTGGAGTTTGGAGTGGGATTTGTTCCCCGTGATTCGGTTGTCTCGGTATTTGATCTTTTGACTTCCCGTTGTTCTTTTGTGGAACTATTTGAGCGTCTTCTTAATGTTTCGTAGGTCTAGAACTATATGGTAGGTATCCATGTAGGCTCTTTGGTGTCTTGAATCGTGCTAAGTGTTCAACATTGTGCTTCGTTGAACCAAGCGGTGTCTTGTGTGTTCCTCGGAACTATCTTGAGTTTCCACGTTGTTAAGCATGCTAGTTTGTTGTCTGAATTCTAGCGTGTGTGTTGTTCGTACCTTCCGTGTGGTTGATGATAACTTGTGTTATGCATCGTTGTTGTCGTTGGGTGGTGACCCATTCCTTGATTGAGTATGTTTCATACCTTCGTTGTAATCTGTTGCTTAACTCGTGTGAGTTGTTGTGCGTGTGTGGCTTTACCTGGATTGCACGATTAGTGGTATGGGACGCTAGTCACCAAGGTATTGCAGCGGTCCTCGTGGTGGCCGTGGAGCTGTGTTCCTTCGAGAAAGGTTCACGTGATTGGGGGATAACATGTGTTATCCGGGCATGTGTGCCATGTGTGTGTACGGTACCTCGTGTACTATGAAATTGGTGGTCTCATAGGCGGGTTGTTGGTGGGGGACGACGGTCCCGGCGGAATAAGGTTGGACTTGGCTGTACAGGGGTCCTGGAGGTAATGGTGGAAGAAGGTATAAGGTTGGGGGTAGCCATAAGGTTGGAACAGGGCATAAGGAAGGCATATCAACTCGTGATGGGTGATGTCGCGAGGGCTTGTGTAGCCATTGTGGTGAGTTCTCTTTCTTGTGACGTGTGTAGTCACAAGGGTATGTGTTGCCATGGGTGAGTTGTATTTCCTTCGTGTTGTGGTAACCTTTGTGGTTTGGGATGTGTTCCCGGTGTTATCTTTGAGAGTGATGAGTCTTGTGTTGTCTTTCGATCTTGGCTTTTAACTTATATACTTATGTATTCCGTTTCGAAAATGGTTTTCTATCTTATATCTACCTATATATGATACTTAACGGTATTGGTGGGTTACCAGCATTATCGCTGACCGGGCGTCGTCCCATGTTTATCTTTGTATCTTTCAGGTGATGTTTAGACGAGCGCGATGTCTAGAGCCTGGTAGCTTAGCATCTTTATCTTGTGGTTTTTATGGCCTGTGCGCCCAATGTAGTTAGATTGATGTTTTGGGATAGTTTTATACACTTGCAGATTGTTCGCCGTAGCGTTTACCGGTTGGTAGACGTGGCATAACACCCCGTTGGATTTCTTTTTATCTAGTTTCCGTTTTTATCTTCCGTTGTGCTAGTTTTGTTGTTTAATCTGCATGTGTTAGGGCTTTTATTGGGCCTTGTTTGGGAGGGGGGGGTGTTACAGTTTGTATCAGAGCCTAGGTTTAGAGCCTATGAAGAGTTAAGTCTTGACTTTCTAAGTGGTTAAGTGTGTTTTGAGACCTCTAAGCGACCTTAAGAAGCTAAGTGATAGGCTTAGGACTCTAGGTTACGCGGTGAGAAGTGTGTTGCTTTCTGTCTTGCTTGTTTGCTCTTTTGGTAACCTCGTTGTTGTAGCAGAAGTCTGTGATGCCTCCTCGCCAGCGAACCGCAGTGTTTGAAGACGTGGGTGAAGTGGGTAAGAAATCTCGGTTGGCCGAATCTAGCAATGCCTCTGGGGTAACTGAGCGGTGGATCCGGAGTGGTTTGTCCACAAGAGTAAGTCCTAGTGCAGCGACCTTGCCAGCACTCCGTGATATAAGAGAGTATGGGAGGATAGAGGTTCATCATCCGGCGGTAGGGTCATCTCAAGAGAGGGTGCTCACCTTAAATGAAGTTCGAACAAGCGACAGTGACGTAGTAGTGGGAACCTTCCTTGTGCAATCCGTGCCAGCAACAGTCTTGTTTGATTCAGGGGCGTCTAACTCGTTCATATCACCCGGCCTCGTGAAGAAGTTGAGCTTATCTGGGGGCACGGGAATGAGGTTTAACGTGAAGGTAGCGTCGGGAGAAGTTAGGATGTGCGACCGTCTTTTCGAGGGCGTCAAGATCTTTATCAAAGGAGAAGAGTTTCCTAGTGATCTAATCCAGTAAGACTTGGACGGGGTGGATGTGGTCTTAGGTATGGACTGGTTGGGGCGGTTTAGAGGCCAAATCTTGTGCAAAGATCAGAAGGTGGTGCTACGAGGACCCAGCGGGAAAAGAGTGTCATACCGTGGAAAGATGGAAGAACCCGGAATTAAGCTGGTGTCTGTGACAAAGATGAAGAGGTATTTGGATAAAGGCAATGAGTTGTACTTGTGTTCGGTCGAGAACTTGAAGGCAAAAGGAGAGGTAGCTCAATCTATACCCGTAGTCCGTGAATTCCTTGATGTATTTCCCGAAGAAATACCGGGTATGCCTCCTACTAGGGAAGTGGAGTTCTCAGTGGACCTTATGCCAGGCACTGCACCCATTTCTAAGGCCCCATATCGTTTGGCTACGCCAGAAATGCATGAGTTGAAGACCCAATTGCAAGAACTCCTTGATAAGGGCTATATCCGGCCAAGTACATCACATGGGGAGCTCCGGTCTTGTTTGTAAAGAAGAAGGACGGAAGTATGAGGTTGTGTATTGACTACCGGGAGCTGAACCAAGTTACCGTTAAGAACAAATACCCTCTCCGAAGAATAGACGACTTGTTTGACCAACTCCGTGGCGCAGGAGTGTTTTCCAAAGTTGACTTGAGGTCAGGATACCATCAGATAAGGGTAGCAGACAAGGATATTCCTAAGACTGCGTTTCGGACTCGGTACGGTCACTACGAGTTTACAGTTATGCCGTTTGGGATGACTAATGCCCCTGCAGTTTTTATGGATCTGATGAACAGAGTGTTCAAACCCCACCTCGACGATTTTGTGATCGTGTTCATCGGCGATATTTTGGTCTATTCGAAAGATAAGAGAGAGAATGTTGGACATCTTCAGACGGTACTTCAGATCTTGAGGGAGAAGCAGTTGTATGCCAAGTTCTCTAAGTGCGAGTTTTGGAAAGACAGTGTTACGTTTCTAGGCCACGTGATTGATAGTAGAGGGATTTCTGTGGATCCGGACAAGATACGGGCAGTGAAGGATTGGACTGCACCTTCATCGGTGTCGGAAGTAAGAAGCTTTCTTGGTTTAGCAGGTTATTATTGAAGGTTTGTTTTGGATTTCGCCAAGGTGGCTCAACCTTTGACTAAGTTACTAAGGAAAGAAGTGCCTTTCGTTTGGGATCAAGCTTGTGAGTTAGCATTTCGAGATTTGAAGGAGAGGCTCACGTCTGCACCAGTCTTAATATTGCCATCAGGAACGGAAGGGTAGGGCTTCTTCTGGTGGCCTAATATGAAGAAGGAAGTTGCAGAGTTTGTTGGGAAATGCCTTAACTGTCAGAAGGTAAAAGCGGAGCGTTGTAAGGTAAAGGGGTTGGCACAACCATTAGAAATTCCACAAGGAAAGTGGGATTCTATATCTATGGATTTCGTGGGAGGATTACCGACGACCCGTTCGGGTAAGGACAAAATCTGGGTGATAGTTGATCGTTTGACCAAGACTGCCCGCCTCATCGCAATGAAAGAAACCTGGACAATGACACAGTTGGCTCAATCCTATGTCAACCAAGTGGTAAAGTATCATGGAGTTCCGAGGGATATTGTCTCCGATAGAGATCCAAGGTTCTTGTCTCAAATGTTGGAAATCCTTGCAAGCAGCTCTTGGAACTAAGCTAAGCCTCAGTACTGCTTTCCACCCAGCCACCGATGGACAAACAGAAAGGACTATACGGACTATCGAAGATATGTTGAGAGCTTGTATGCTAGATTTTCAAGGATCTTGGGAGGACCATTTGGATTTGATAGAGTTTTCTTACAACAATAGTTATCATTCGAGTATTCGCATGGCACCTTATGAAGCTCTCTATGGACAGAAATGTCGCAGTCCGCTTTGTTGGGAGGATCTTTTTAATCCGATAGTGTTGGGACCACAATACTTGTTGGACACATCCGAGAAAGTTAAACAGATTTAGGAAAGGATGAAAGCGGCTCAGAATCGTCAAAAGTCCTATACTGATTTGGCTAGAAGACAAGCGGAGTTTTCGGTAGGGGATAAGGTTTGGTTGAAAGTGTCTTCCACCCGGGGAGTAATGCAGTTTGGAAGGAAAGGGAAGTTGAGCCCTAGGTTTATAGGTCCGTATGAAATCCTGGAGAGGGTTGGAAGTTTGGCTTACCGTTTGGCGTTGCCCATGGAGTTAGAAAGAGTGCATAATGTGTTTCATGTATCGCAGCTCAAGAGATATATTCATTACCCGACCCATGTGTTACCACCAGAATTGATACCGATAGATGAGGATTTGTCTTACGAAGAAAGACCGCTCAGAATTTTGGACTTTAAGACTCGGGACACACGTAGGAAGTCCGTTAAGATGGTAAAGGTTTGGTGGACACATCATGGGGTTGAAGAAGCTACATGGGAGCTGGAGTCGACCATGCGGGAGCGGTACCCGGAGTTGTTTATGGAAGGTATCTTGTTTTTTTTTTTTCGTTGGTTGTTGCCTTGCGTGTTTGCCTTTGTGTGTTGCTTGTGGCTTAGTTAGTTTTGTTGTGGTAGTGGGTGTTTCGTGTTTGTTGTCTTGCCCTTAGTGTTTGGGTAGAAGTAGATGTGGGTGTTGAGAATAGAGTTTGTGATGGTCAATCTACTCCTTTGCTTTGCTCTTGACCAATCCTTGAATTTGAAATACCTTCTTCTTTGCTTTGGAACCCTTGTGAGTACTTTTGGAGTTTTTGACCAAAAGGACTATTCTTGAACTTCTTGACACAATTTCGTTTCCTTGTTACCATTCGCTTTTAATTCGTCGTACCCAAGCTTCGGGGACGAAGCTTCTTTGAAGGGGGAGAGGATGTGGCACCCCCAAAATCCACATTTCAATCCATGAATTAATTGAGTAATTAATTCTAATTCTTTTGAGGAATTGATTCCTAAAATCCTGATTTTTAATACTCAAGGACTAGTATTTGACTAGTCAATCTTTAAGTTGTGTTGTACCTTGTGCTTTGAGAGGAGTTCCCTTGTTCCTTACACTTTCTAAAGCTTAGTAAGGGTATCCTTGTCTTTTCATCAAGAGTTAGTATTGTAACCTAAACCTAGAAGACTTCTTCGTTTCATTCCTTACAATCCTTAGAAAATATCTCCATCTTCTCTCTAGAAAAGAAGAGTGGCTTATTCTTCAAGCCAAGTTGAGACCCTTGTCAAGATTCCAAGTTTTGCTTCCAAGATTCAACCTTTCACCTATTTGGGCATCTAGGAGGGTAAGATCTAAGCTTGTCTAGTCTTTTTGGTTCCATCTTAGTCGTCTTTTTCTTAAAGGTAGGATCTTTATGATCTTTTGGTTTGATCTTGAAGTGGTTTTGAGAAGTAAGCTTTGTGGGGAGCTTGTTGTGGTGTAAAGTGAAGTCTTTTGGTCTACAAGAGGTAACCCATGCTCTACAAAACCTATTTTGCTTACCTATAGGTGATTTCTTGGATTCTACTTGTGCTTTGCTATGAAATGTGAGGGTTTATGCATTTATCTTGTGATATTGCATATCTAGAGCTTGTGTTTAGGGTTCCTTTGTGCCATTGCTTGGCATTTTCCATGGTTCAAGTCATTTTGTTGTATTTGGTGAGATTTGGCATGTTTTGGACTAGAATTTGTGTTTGGAGAAGAAAATCCCCGAAGGGATTATTTACACAGGAGCATGTACCCGCGGGCGGAACGGCGGGGAGAGCCCTACCTGCCACCCACCCGCAGGTACATGGGAATGTGAGTGGTGTACCCGCGGGCAGAACCACGGGTAGGGGCCTACCCGTGGGTCCACCTGCGGGGAACACAGTGGAGTTTGGAGTGGGATTTGTTCCCCGTGATTCGGTTGTCTCGGTATTTGATCTTTTGACTCCCCGTTGTTCTTTTGTGGAACTATTTGAGCGTCTTCTTGATGTTTCGTAGGTCTAGAACTATATGGTAGGTATCCATGTAGGCTCTTTGGTGTCTTGAATCGTGCTAAGTGCTCAACATTGTGCTTCGTTGAACAAAGAGGTGTCTTGTGTGTTCCTCGTAACTATCTTGAGTTTCCCCGTTGTTAAGCATGCTAGTTTGTTGTCTTAATGCTAGCGTGTGAGTTGTTCGTACCTTCCGTGTGGTTGATGTTAACTTGTGTTATGCATCGTTGTTGTCGTTGGGTGGTGACACATTCCTTGATTGAGTATGTTTCATACCTTTGTTGTAATCCGTTGCTTGACTCGTGTGAGTTGTTGTGCGTGTGTGGCTTTACCTGGATTGCACGATTAGTGGTATGGGACGCTAGTCACCAAGGTATTGCAGCGGTCCTCGTGGTGGCCGTGACGTGATTATGGAGCTGTGTTCCTTCGAGAAAGGTTCACGTGATTGGGGGATAACATGTGTTATCCTGGCATGTGTGCCATGTGTGTGTACGGTACCTCGTGTACTATGAAATTGGTGGTCTTATAGGCGGGTTGTTGGTGGGGGACGACGGTCCCGACGGAATAAGGTTGGACTTGGCTGTACAGGGGTCCTGGAGGTAATGGTGGAAGAAGGTATAAGGTTGGGGGTAGCCATAAGGTTGGAACAGGGCATTAGGAAGGCATATCAACTCGTGATGGGTGATGTCGCGAGGGCTTGTGTAGCCATTGTGGTGAGTTCTCTTTCTTGTGACGTGTGTAGTCACAAGGGCATGTGTTGCCATGGGTGAGTTGTATTTCCTTCGTGTTGTGGTAACCTTTGTGGTTTGGGATGTGTTCCCGGTGTTATCTTTGAGAGTGATGAGTCTTGTGTTGTCTTTCAATCTTGGCTTTTAACTTATATACTTATGTATTCCATTTCGAAAATGGTTTTCTATCTTATATCTACCTATATATGATACTTAACGGTATTGGTGGGTTACCAGCATTATCGCTGACTGGGCGTCGTCCCATGTTTATCTTTGTATCTTTCAGGTGATGTTTAGACGAGCGCGATGTCTAGAGCCTGGTAGCTTAGCATCTTTATCTTGTGGTTTTTGTGGCCTGTGCGCCCAATGTAGTTAGATTGATGTTTTGGGATAGTTTTATACACTTGCAGATTGTTCGCCGTAGCGTTTACCGGGTTTGGTAGACGTGGCATAACACCCCGTTGGATTTCTTTTTATCCAGTTTCCGTTTTTATCTTCCGATGTGCTAGTTTTGTTGTTTAATCTGCATGTGTTAGGGCTTTTATTGGGCCTTGTTTTGGGGGGGGGGGTGTTACAGTGCCCCTCTCCAGCGATACCACTTCCATGTGGAGCCAAGGTACGGCGGTCGAGCAGAACATCAGTCGGGATGCGAATCACTCGGTCTGGTTCGAACGCCTGTATGCAGAAGGCCAACACAAGAGTACGTGGACGACCGGTCTCGACCATCTTCCTGCTCCACCGCTCGGCCAAAGGAGATGTACTGAACGATGCGGAGAACATCTTAGGTCGGTCGGGAGATATACTACTAATAGGGTTCGGAAAAAAGACTCATGAAAGGAGTAAAGTAACAATAGACATTGTTCTAAAATGGGAGCCGTATAAGAGAGATCCCTCCTAAACCTATACTAGTGATAACATTTTTGCAATCAGATTCAATCCATACTTTGCTAAGGTTGCGAGACTTGAGCCAAGATAGTGCCTCTTTACATACGAGATAGGTCCACTGGTTACCACAAGAAAGCCTCCAGTGTCTGTAACACCCCAGATTTTCAAGACTTTTAAAACTTATATAATAACGGTAGAATCTCATTGAATCCCAAAATACGATACAAAGAGTGCGGGGTGCTATGCCACACCCGAGCTGGAGAACTCAGGTGCACAGGCTAACTAACTAATATCCTTGATAAAGAGAAAGCATAACATGGCACGCAGGCCGTAAAGGAAACTATCTACTTCTACACTCCAAGGTTCTAGCGCGCTCCAGTGTCTACTCATCTGTGCCTGAAAGCCAAATATATCTGTTCAGCGAGAGATGCTGGTAACCCACTCCAACGCGTTGAAATACAATACATATAGATATATACATAGATATACGAAAAGTCATTTCGAGGCATGAAGATATATCCTAAGAGACTCTAGCTTTCAAATCAGGGAACCAACTCGACAAATAGGGGTACA